AACTCAATCTCACTAGGAGATCAAGCTCAAGTGACCAAGTCTCCTATGCCACTTCCACAAATCGAAGAAGATCCAAAGCAACCAAACAATGAGAAGAACCGAAAGGCGAGAGAAATCAGCTCAAAAAACTCGGGCCGAAAGGAACGATCGACAAACTAGATGTCCACGAGAATCGAGCACACGAGAAAGTCCGATCTTAAAGCGCACCTCAAACCCATCTTGAAGGAGTTGCGAAGCAGAGAGCAAATTGAAATGCGGGCTTGAAACCAAAGCAACGTCCTTCAAGATAAAAGACTCATTGACCGAATGGTCCCACGAGACAAAGACACCTTACCTTTGCTATTGTCCCCAAATGTGATGTACTCCTTGTATTGCATGGGGTCGAGGTGGAGAACCATTTGGAACTTCCGGTCATGTGGCGCGAACAATGGAATCAACAAGCCACGTGTTCTCCAGGCCTCCGCTCTGCATCAATAGAAAGACAAGGGGTGAGCAAATGGCACAACACTGGGGTTAGTGAAATGAGGAGAATACCAGTGTTGAGTCATTTGCCCTGGAAAAGTGTTAGGAAAAACACCATACATGCCATGTCCCATTGGAGAGAAGCGATCACCACGTGGGGGAAAGCGTGGCCCGCTAGAGTGGAGGATGAAAGCCACTGGTCGCGAGGTCCAAAGTCATATCGATCATGACTTGGGCCACGCGGGCACGACCACCACGTGGTCTCGCCACTGAGGCCTAGCACCTTGAGGCATTGCACCTCTAGGCCTAACACTGTGCCTCTGAGCAGTGTGGTACATGTACGCCATGTGGAGGACGGTACATGTTTCGGTTGTTCAACTCATACTCTGCCAGCTCATCTCTCTTCCTCCTAAAGCAAAACTCACCAAATGACCATCTCTATGGCAATAGTCACAGTGGTACCTCACCTCTCTCTTGGGTGGTGGTTGACTCACTCTCGAGGCTTTTTGGCTTTAGGAAGGGTGCACTAGAGATGTTGGGTAGAGTATCGAGTGAGTTCGAAAGTGGTTGGTTTGGGAACCCAAACTTGTTTGGATGGTGGAGCTTTTGGTGGTTCTTCAAACACACCATCTTTGATCATAGGCTTGGTAGGCTCTCGGTGAGGGGATCTTGATCAATTTGGGAGTGTTGGTGGGTTTCTCATTTGGGTTCAAACCACTATGTTCACCAACCTTGCCATAGACATGCTCACCCTTCCCACCTATAGCAAAGCCTACTCCCGATGAGTCAGGTTCTCCGCTGAACTGGCTCACCATCATGCCCAACTGGGGCTCACTTTGCACGACACCCAACTCAAGATAGACCGAAGTTGTGTGTTTTCTTCCTCGGTTCCCATCTTGTCATGCCTACAGGACTCAAGCTCCAACACCAAAGCTTCACATCGAACACATGTAGTGGTGGTGCTATCTCGAGTTGGCCTTCTCAAACTCAAAGCAAGTTTGGCAACCTTCTCTCGCCAAACTCAGTTGCAAGCTGCTGGCGAGGACTTGCATGCCTTCGAGCAACCCGTAAGCGAGACTTCAGCTCATCACATTCATCAAGCAAAAAAGCATACTTTGGATTGCAAGTCGGAGAGGTTAGACATGTGTATAGCGCACTCATCGCACTCCTCCTCGACACCACTACACCACTCTTGGCAAGCTCCAACTCCTTCAAAGCAACCTCTAGCTGGTCCTTAAACTCTTTTCTCTCACAGGCAAAGACGCTTAAGCAACTTATCTTGACTCATCAATGTATCATTCATAGTATCAAGCTCAAGCATGAGTGAGTCAAGTGTGTAAGTGGTACCTCGTTTTCGTCGTCGTCGACGTCCTTCTTGAGCTTTGCTCCACCGTCAATCGCCATAGTGCAAAACCCACCACGGTTTGCACCGGCGACAAAGCAGAGACCGTTGAGCTTGTCCTCGCGCTTCTTCTCGGACTCATCGTCGGTCGAGGAAGAAGAAGAGTGATCATCGTCGGAGTCGTCGTCGAGGTCGCCGAGGGAGGCGAGGAAAGGCGCGTTCTTGAGCTTTGGCCTTCTCTGCTGCACGCCTTCTTGATCGCCTCCTTGTCGAAGCCGCCCTTGGCCTTGTGCTTGCCGGAGGTGTAGTCGCGTTTATCCTTGCGCTTGCCGGAGTCGTACTTGTTGGCGAAGGTCTTCTTCTTGGGGCAGTGCGCGACGAAGTGGTCCGGATCTCCACATCCATAGCATCCCTCCTTCGGGCCCTGCTGCGGCCGGCGGTTCAAGCGGTTGTTGTGAAACCGAGAGAACCGGATCGATGACGAGTGCCAACTCATCATCTCCAAGAGACTCCAATTTGCTCCTCTGTGGTCGACATCAAGCACGACAAAGAGAAAGAAGCTTGTGAAGGGTTAGTCAAAGAACTTGAACCACTACCTGAGACCAAAGCCATGGTTGGTGCGGAAGGATTCTTGAGCTTGGCTTGAGTTTGGTAGTCGATCTCTGTGGACTTGAGCTTCTTTGAAAAGCTCGTCGATGGTGAGGGTGTCATAGTTGGCGGACTCGATGATCGCCGACACCTTCACATCCCATACCTTTCGATCAAGGGCATAGAGAAGCTTGAGCGCTCTCTCATGATCACTATAAGGTAGGTTGGCCTTGTTCGCTTTCATTTTGTTGACAATAGTCCCGAAAGCGGAAAACATGGCATCGATGGACTCGCCATCAAGTCGAGAGAAGTTCTCGTACTCGGCTTGTACGTCTCGTAGAGTCCGGTCTTGACACATGCGGTCCCCTCGTGATAGCTCTGAAGCCTCACCCGGATCTCTCGAAATGTAGTACAATCGGAGACACGCTCAAACTCGAAGCGAAAGACTCGAGAAAAGCACTGCTGCGAGCTTTGCTATTTGCGTTGTGCCGATCCTTGTGATCTGGGTGGTACGGGCGCATGACGGGGGAGCACAACGTAAGTAGCATCCTCGCAAATTTCCCAGACGAGCCAATCAATCCCCACGGAGATGCGCAGACATGCGGATCTTCCAATAAGGATAGTTGGACCCATCGAAGTGCGGTGGTTTGCCGAACCACGCTCCATCGTCGCCGTGGATCACGGACCGATTAAGGTGGAATGATCCTTAACCGCTCTCGATACCAATTGAAGGACCGGAAAGCGGCGACTCAGAGGGGGGGGGTGAATGGGAGCCTCAAATTTCTTCCGAAATCTTCAACCACTTGTCCCAACATCAATCCCCAAAAGCATTCACGAAAGACTTGATGACCACGACCCTAAAGAAGGGTGGATACTCCTCGAACACAACGGGTCACCACAGAGCAAACGGAACAAAGATCGAAGCCCAAAGCGAGCAAACTCCCAAAAAAAAGCATGCTTGCCTCTGCAAATATCGGACACGTCCGGTATTATATCGGACACGTCCGTATTTTCGGACACGTCCGGTATGATCTCGGACACGTCCGGTATTTTCAAAGACAAGAAGTGACCAAAAGAGAAAAATCAAAACCACATCAAATGGTGTCCAAAAATCATGAAATTTTAACCATAGCTCTTTAGACACCAAGGAAGGTCTCCACCAAATTTCAGCTCAAAACTCCAAAGTGAGAAATATCGGACACGTCCGGTATCATATCGGACACGTCCGGTATGAACGAAAGCCGATTTCTCGAGAAAAATCAAATCAAGCCATAACTTGATCAAATCAACTCCAAATGACTTGAAACTTTGCACAAGGGTTCAAGCGAGTAGAAAGGCAACCTCTAAAGGATCATGGCCCGAAACAAACTCTAACTCCGTGAATCGAAGGAATTGAAGAATCCCCAAAGAAATAGGTCAAGAACTTAAATTGCTCGGATCTGCGATCTCGTGAGGAATTAGTGGATTTCCTTCGATTGGAAAGCTTCTACTCATGTCATTGATCGATCCAAGGCAACAAGAACGAACCAAAACCATCCCACAACGAAGAAACGAGAGGGAAAATAAGAAGGGACAAAAGGAGCTCGTGAAGAACACCAAAATCACATCAAGAACACAACTAAATCATGAATCCCGGAGGACATACGGTGAATTACGCCACCGATTCCTTGAAAACCAAGTCACAATTTGAGTTGTGGACCTCTCTCATACATGGAAGCAAACTAGAGGAAGAAACCCTAAAGGAGAAAATGAAAATCGGAGAAGGTGAGGGAGATGGGGCTCCCTCATCCTATTTAATGAGGCTATTACACATTCATTCAGCTTTGCCCTCGGATACAAATGAGTTGAACCGCTAAGCCCAAGGGCGTTGTTGTCCAACCTGGTGTAATCTTGATCCCGGCCACCGCGCCTTCTCACCGGTAGTAGCGCCTCGACGCGAACTCCCGATGCCGCCACGCGTCGTCCGTCCCTCCTCGGAACCTCGCCTGCGGGTTTTGAGGCCCAAACCTCAGTAAACCGTCCATGGGTAGCGTACTCCATACTGCGTTCCCCGCCATCCGACGCGATGTCACCGCTGTCCTCGACCGGCCGCCCGCCAAGTCTCCCGAGCCTCGCTCGACTCACGCGCGTCCGCCGTCTTGACCGGTCAACACCGTCACTCCATGTCTTCTTGCACTTGTCGATGTCCCAAGTGTCGACCACATGACTAGTCACCCGACCTCTGGGTCCCTCGGTCCAAGCCTCCGTCACGTCCGTCCTTCACCGCTCCGATGCCGCAAGACGCAAGACGTCCTCCTTGACCTTCACCTCGCCATCGACCACCGCATCCGAGCTCCACACCTGCACAACACAAGCCAAAAGACATGTCGCACACATAGCTTTCGCCATGGTAGGGTTAGTCACCACTCAACCTACTTCGTGGATCACATTGACAATCACTCATCACAAAACGAACACACAAGGGTACTTGTCAACCTTGTGTTCGCAACTTGACTCCATGGGATCTCGCGCTGATCACGGTGGACCACATCCAGAAGGGGATCCTCCTGCCCAAGCCTGGGACAGGAGGTGTACAACTCGTCGACGACCTTGCTTCGTCCTTCGCTAGCGCGCTGGGCCATTTCTACCCACTGGCCGGCCGTCTCACTGCCTCAGAGACCACGTATGGTGTTTCAAGTCCGAGCCTCACCATCTCACTCTGCTGCAACGGTGAAGGCGCCGAGTTCATTCATGCCGTGGCTCCTGAGGTCACCGTGAGCCACATAACCACCCCAGTGTACATCCCGTCAGTCGTGTGGTCCTTCCCGCTGAACAGGCTGCTGAATGTGGAAGCTGTCGTGAGCTCCCTCCCTGTGCTGGCTGCGCAGGTCACTGATCTCGCAGATGGCATCTTTATTGCCATGTCACTCAACCATGCCGTCACCGATGGGGCCACATTATGGCTTTTCTTCAACACCTGGTCGGAGATAAACCGGCATAGCAGCGGTGGAGGTGAAGGGTACAAGCTGTCCACACCACTGCCTGTGCTGGACAGATGGTTCCTCGACACCTGCCCTGTGCCAATCCCTCTACCCTTCGGCAAGCTAGACGACATTGTCCGGCGACCTGAGTACACACCGGTGCAGGAATGTTTCTTCCACTTCTCTTCGGAGAGCATAAAAAGGCTCAAGAAGAAGGCAAATGCCGAGATGGGTGGAACTGCGACGGCCACCATCTCCTCGTTGCAGTCCCTGCTTGCTCACCTTTGGCGAGCGGTGTGCCGAGCCCGGGGGCTCGCACCACACCTGGAGACCACGTACAAGCTTGCCATTGGATGTTGCGCTCGGGTGAAGAGTATACCACAAGAGTACATGGGCAACGCTGTGGTACTTGATGTTGCAAAATCCACCGTCAGCGACGTCTTGGACAAAGGCCTCGGCTGGGCGGCGTGGCTCCTGAACCGCTTTGTGACGTCGTTTGACGAGGCGAAGGTGAGGAACAATCTCGTGTGTTGGGCCCAGAAGCCCAACCTGCTGTATGCGAAACCCTCCAGGAACCGTGCACATACCGTGACTGGGAGTTCGCCACGGTTCGACGTGTATGGCAATGACTTTGGATGGGGCCGGCCATTGGCCGTCCGGAGCGGCTCTGGGAACAAGGTGGACGGGAAGGTGACCGTGTACGAGGGTCGCGACGGCAGAGGCATCATGGCGCGGGAGGCGTGCCTGTCTCCTGAGGCGCTTGACAGGCTAATCGCCGATGAGGAGTTCATGGAGGCCGTGAGCGCCGCGTGAAGGCATGGTGCCTCGTCGTCGCTGGCCGGACGATGCCTGCTGGTGGTAGTGCGCGCCATGTGCGCTCTTCTACTGCTTAGTGCTTATTAAATAATGTTGTGTAATTGTATTCATTGATTCGATATCTAATTTATCATTTTTCTGCATACTTTTTGAAAGAACTCTATGCTTTTGTGCTGTTATATATGCGAAGTCAGGTACTGCTGTTCTAACTATTTTTTATAAACTCATGTATAATACCTATCCTTGTGCTCTCCTAGTCTCCTTTATGTTTATTTTGTAACACAAATTTGAATATAGATGCTCTGTAATCTCTATCCGGCTATACTAAATTTATCAATTATTTTGTAGGTTTTTCCATCCGTATCATAGACTTTTTATTTTGCATCACCTCTAGGTGCCTTGGGTACACAAACATACACTTAGTCGAAAATTATAGGTTATATGGTGGCTCTTTTTCTTAATGGTTGTTATGGTGTCTTGTTGCAGCTCAAGTCTCATGATGTCATAACTTTAGATTTTTAATAACTTTTTAAGTTATGATCTTATTAGTTGTTACAAATGTTTTTATCTCATGTTAATTTCAAACTCTTGTAATTATATGACACCTTTTATTAAAAACTATCATTTTGTATTTTATCTGAATGAAGAAATGACCTAACTAGCTGTTTTCAGCTTGTCCCCATAAAAATTCACAGGTGTGAATGCTTGATTGGCGACAAGTTTTATCTATCTATATAGATTGCTTTCGTTTTCAGATCGTGATAGATTGCCATCGCCATCATAGCAATACTTGAACCATGGCCGTGATGGTTCGATTCAGTTCAGTAGTTCAGTACAGTACATAGTGGTTCATATAGCGAATGAAGTCGGTAGAATGCCACAATATTCCAAACGAATCTTTAGGTGAAATTGGGAAATATATTTTTTTGGGAAATTAAAAAAAAAAAATAATTCCAATTCCAAACAAAATCATACGGAATTCATTCTGTGATCCAAGCCAATTTAAAAAAATATCGCAATGGAACGCTAGAAGCCTAAAACCCTTAGATCGCATTCGCTGACCACGAGCTCTTTTTTATAGCAGAATCTGGAAATCACACTCTGAACACAATGTAGACATTCAGAATTAGTACATTGGTCTTGTAGCTCATGTAAGCTTGGTTTGCTGATCCATAACATAAGGTTTATGCTTCAGGAATCATTACTGTAGTCACAGACTCACAGTTCTTTTACCACATAAAGAAATACAAAATGTTACATTGCATTTCGATTTAGAGACGTTGGAACTAGCCATTGACAGTGTCCCATGAAGATGATAGATATGAAATCAAGAAGAATAAAAAAATTGAAAGGACGAGAAATAATAATAAAAAAGAAATTTCCAAAGAAATGTGTGAAAAAAAACCGGCCCAGAACAAGGCCCGTGCGGGTGCATTCCCTCCGCTGGGCCCAACAGCCCCCGACTGGGCTGGCCGTCGCTGCATTTCCCCTTCCGCCGCCCAACAACCCCTTCCGTCCGCTGCCTTCCCTCCGCGTGGTACTCCCGCCGCCGCCGCCGCCCTAAGCCAGGTGCTGAGGCTTTCGTTGGTCTCTTCGCCGGTGACGAGCACCCACCAGGTACTCCCACCCCTTCTCTTCCCTTCCCTTCATGCTGTGCGAAGCTGAGCACCGAAACCCTGGCCTAAACCTCTTTACTGGATCCGCCCCTGCCAAACGACATGCATATAACTCCGATTTTTCGCCAAAAAAAAAGGGTCCTATGCTGGATTCGATTCGCCCGTGGTTTACTGAGAAATTTCTTCGCAGGGCACGGGCCTCAGGATGCAGTCTTTGGTCCGGATTGTCTGCCGAGCCGGAAGCCGTGGAGTGGCGGCGAGGCTCCTGGAGCTTGCCGCTGCTCCTGTAGCCGTGGCTCATCCGGGGCGGCGCAGCCATCCTCGGCCGTCAAGCACCTCAAGCAGACTTTCGGGTTCGCTCGTCCGATCGGGGTAGAGATCAATCCGTACGTGTGCAGAGCCGGGTCATTCCTGCTGCCGCCTCGGGTTTCGGTCTCTGCACAAAAGTTTTCGGTGCGACGAGGGGTTTGTCGACGGTGGGGAATGCGGCTGAGGTTGCTTCTGATTCGGACGATTCCACCTCTCCTGCGGTTGAGCACCCCCTGCTCATCAAGTTCAAGAGGCCCGACAAGACCGCTAGACACATTATGAATGTATGTAAGCTGAGTGAGTGTTACATACTTGCAGGGACTGTATTGTTACATTACATCCAGTGACAGTAACAAAATCACCACAAAAAGATAAATCTGCTTGTTTGACTATGCAGATCCTGAACAAAGAGGCCGTCGAAAAGGTCCGCTCGGAGAGGGAGATTCCTGATGTACAGCCTGGATGTATGATTCATATGAGATTGGTATATCATTTCTTTGTGTTCCTGCTTCAGCGCTGTTCGGATATGGTTCTGGCACTGATCTTCCTGTGAATCAATGAACAGCAAGTTCCTGAGAACAAACGGTAGCGAATTGACATTGAAAGGGATTGTGCTGGGAAGGCGCAATGCTGGGATCAATACAACCTTCAGATTGCGTAGATTAGTGGCTGGCGTTGGAGTTGAGTCTGTCTTTCCACTGTAAGTCAATCCGAACATGTTCTTCTCTACTCTAACTTATACTTTTAATATACTCTGCTTTGTTTTGGAATATATCATGCTGAGGTTGAAGTACTTGTTATATAGGTTCTCTAATATCCTTGTGCTGCCAGAATTAACTTCTTGTTCATTGATATCTGATAATTATTCAATGACTGTTAAACTTCATGTTTCTACTATCTAGTGGGATATTTCTCCCTGTCTGTTACTATGGCAGACATGGAGTTCTTGTCCTCTGTTTGTGCATAACCTTACAATATACTCTGATAAATTAAGGCCAGCTAAACTATAGATAGATGTGTGGTTTCTGCATGAGAAATGTAATTGGATGTTTGCAAAACTGGGAAAACTGTTCTTAGGAAATCAGGTTTTGTCCTTCTGTTTGTTGTAAATCCATGAATACTATATTAACCATGCTATGACACATAACTAATGACCTGAAGCAAGTTAATGATGATGTACCAAACAGTATAGGCGGATTGGCCGTTTTGCAGAATGGACATAACTGCTTGTGCCCTGTTAGCAAGCATCCTAGTACGAGCGGAGATTATAGTTTCATAAACACATTATCCAGTTATGCTCATACCTCAGTTGTTCTGAATTTGTAGCAGATTCTTTCTTTGCTCTGCATTTGCCGTGGAAACAAATACATTGAAAGAATACTATAACTAGTAGTTTATATGTTCTTTTTTTCTTTTTTTATTATCAGGATCTTTGTGCTACGTTCAGCACTCAACTTTTAATCCATTTAATGTTTGGAGCTAGCATAACCATGGAAAGATATCATCACATATGACACTGCATATACGATACTAGATTGACTTGAGAGTTTCACCAAATTATGTTTTATGGTTTGAATGGAAACCTGCCAGTGTTATCTTTCATTGTTTGAACGGCCACATGTCTTTCTTTTAATTAGCTATCAACTATTTGCTTGCACTACTTGGACAGGAAGAAAGTCAGGAGAGCTAAGCTGTATTACCTGAGGGACAGGGTGAACGCACTTAAAAAATGAGGCTTTCAACTTGTTTCTAGGATGTTTGCCCATGTGGATCAGCTTGGTTTCTGAACATGCAACAGTTGCAGTCTGAGAGTCACATTGTTTAGTTCCATGTTTGAAAAGCCATAGCTTGTAGTTGTCAATTGTCATGCTTGGTTTCAAGCTGCAAGTGCTAGCTGCTAGCAGAATATGTTTTCTGACACAAAATTTAACAATGTGGATCCTCCCTCTTTGATTTGCAGCACTGTAAGCTCAGTGCAAAAAAATAACGTGCTTAGGTCTATTACTTCCCCAACCTTATTTAGGATGTGCGTTTGACATAAACAAGCTGGAATACTTTACTTATCAAAGTGAAACTATTATGAGGTGCTTTCTGCTGTCGAGGTTACAGGTTTTCTTTCCTCAAAATCGTCTAGTGTTTGTCCATAGAAATATGTTGTTCTGAAGAATGGTCTATGCGTCTCTGTTTCTGTCCAGCTTGACCTGCTGTGAACAAGGGGTATAAGCTCTATGGACACCCATTCATGGAACTGAACTTTGGAGTTTTTATTTTATGGCTCAGTATCGTTTATTCTGAGCATGTATATATCACTGAAGCTCTTTGTTGGTGAAAGTGATATCAAGCTAGGTGGACCATGCAACTATGGTTGCTGTTCTTTTCGCATGCAGCCACTTCAGGCAGCTGGCAATGAGGTCAGACAACTAGTACAAGTTAGCTGTAAGACTCTTTGGGTCTCCGCCAGGCCCACCACCACGAGCACCACGAGGAAGGGGACGACCGGAGCCGGCTCAACACGGCGGCCGCGTGGCAGCTCCGCCTTGCCGCGGCCAGCATCGAGGGGGGCTCCGCATCGCCGTCCCAAATCCGCGCCGCGCCCCCACCGCCGCCCCGGATCTGGGGAGGGCCACCATGGCCGGGTGCCTTGCCCGCTTCAGCGCGAGCGATGATGGGAGGCGACTGCTGCTCACCGTCGCCATGTCCGCGCCTTGCAGGAGGATGCGCCGTCGGTGGGGAGAGGAGCCGCCGGCCTTGGCTGCCTTGCGGATCTGGACCCTCCCCCCAGCGCTCCTAGGGCGCGCAGACCACGCTAGCGCCGCCGTCTTTGCACAAGGCCCGCCGCCCACCGGAGAGCAGAGGAAGGGGCCGCGACGAGGAGGGAGGGGCGCTGGGCTGGGGGCGCCGTGCTCGCGATGAGGGAGGGAGGAGCCGCTCCAGGAGACAAGGGAGGGCGTCGGGCTGCCGCTATGGTGAGAAGGGAGGGGCGCGGCGGTGGGTGGGCGTGGATTTTGGTCTGTCTGTTGGAGAGGAGATATTTGGGTTCGTTACTTTTTTTACAGTACATGACCTATAATA